TTTATTATTATTTTTATATCAGTTGTTTAAAATCATAATTTTATAGATTTGCTTTATTTAAAAAGGTTTTAAGTTTTATGGTTGGCTTTCTGCTCTGACAGGATTAAAGTACTGCTTTTATATTTTAGTTATGTCCTATTTAAAAAATAATTACTGTATTGAGATATTTCACACACCGTAAAATTCACCCTTTTGAAGCGTAAATTCAGTGGTTTTTAGTATATTCAGAGTCATACAGCCACCATCACAATCTATTGTGAGGATATCTTCAACATCCCAGAAATGAAACCTCATGTCCATTAGTAATCATTTCCCTCTTTCTAGGTTTAGGTCCCTAATCTAGTTTCTATAAATTAGTCTCTTCTGGATATTTCATATAAATGGGATTATACAGTATGTATTTCTTTATGAATGTGTTTTTAATTTTTTTTTAACTTATAATAATGGTAAGATTCATTTATGTTGTGACACATACTATAATTTTATGCCTCTTTATGGTCAAATAGTATTCCACTGTATGGATATACAACATTTTCCTCATTTAACCACCCATTATTTATTTATTTATTTATTTAAGGTTTTTGCCATACCTCACTAGGGATGGAGGGAGGGAGGGAAGGAGAGAGAGAGAGGGAGAGGGAGAGGGAGGGAGGGAGGGAGAGAGAGAGAGAAAGAGAGAGAGAGCGAGAGAGAGAGAGAGAGAAAGAGAGAGAGAGCGAGAGAGAGAGAGAGAGAAAGAGAAAGAGAAAGAATTGTCCTTCTGAGGTTCTGGGCACATATGCACACAGGCCTGGCATGATTTTCAAGCCACCAGGTCTGGGCCTAGAACCGCAGTTGGCTACATGGGAGTCCAGAACCTTAATCAATGTGCCAACTGCTGTCCCCAATTCATATATTTATTCATTGTACATTTGCATTGTCTTTACTTTTTTACTATTGTGAATAATATTGTGATGAATGGAGAATGGAGGAGAAGGGATAGTGGCCTGACCAAGCCCCAGCAGGTGATTTCTTGCTTTCTGTCTCTCTGTCTGTCTCTCTCTGTTGAGTGCACACACCCTATAGCAAAAACCTCTTAAAAAATTATGTTATGTGTTCTTGATACAAATCTCATATCAGGTCCATGATTTGAAAATCTCCTATTCTGTGAGTTTTCTTTTCACTTTTGAAGTTACAAAAGTTTATTTTTTTGGAGAGGTTTTTTGCTATAGGGCACGTGCGCTTGCCAGACAGACAGAGACAGACAGAAAGCTAGAAATCACCCCCCAGGGGGGATGGCCACGCCGTAATCCCTTCTCCTCCATTCTCCTCTCGGGATCCTGGACATGCACGCACACGTGCCCAGCGTGAGTTTTAAGCCACCGGGTCCGGGGCACGAACCGCGGTTGACAACGTGGGAGTCCCATGAAGTTACAAAAAAGTTTTAATTTTGAATATGTACCATTAATTTTTTCTTCCATTGCTTGTGTCTAGTATCTAAGAAGGCACTACAGATGTGATGTTTTGAACGTTCAGTTCTGTTTTCTTTGAGTTTTAGCTTTTATATTTAGGTATTTGATCTACTTGAGTTAAGTATGGTATGTATGGTGTGAGGAGGCAGACGATATCCATTGTCTCAATATCATTTGTTGAACAAACTTATTTTTGTCACTGAATTATCTTGGTATTAGTGTTAAATAAATGACCTTCAATAGAAGAGTTTATTTTCGGACTCTTAGTTTTACTGCATTTACCCTTTATTCTAGTACTACAGTGTATAGATTAATGCAGCTTTCTACTATGTTTTGAAAACATGAAGTATGAGTCTCCCTACTTTTTTTTTTTCTCTCTCTCTCTTTTAGTATTTTTTTAAAGAGGTTTTTGTTATAGGGCTCATGTGCTCACCACACAAATAGAGAGACAGAAAGCGAGAAATCACTCACCTGGGGGGTTGGTCACACCGTAGTCCCTTCTCCTCCATTCTCCTCTCGGGATCTTGGGCACGCACGCACACACGTCCGTTGTGAGTTTTAAGCCACCGGGTTTGGACGCAAACCGTGGTCGACTACGTGGGAGTCCAGTAACATAGCCATTATGCTAACTGCTGGTCACATCTTTTAGTACTTTTTGTCATAGGGTACTCATGCTCATCAGAGACAGGCTGAGAGAGAGAGGGAGAGAAAGAGAAAGAGAAAGTGAGAAATAGGACATGTCCACTCTGGGATCCCTTCTCCGGCATTTTCCCTTCTGGGTTTTGAGCACACTAAGACGTGTGCCTCTGTGTTTTTCTCGGACTTGAACCAGTGGAGTTGGCCATGTGGGACTCGGCATCTTCACCCCCATTCCACCTGCTGCCTAACTTTGTTCTTTTTCAAGATTAATTTGTTTATTCAAGATCCTGTGTATTCCCATAAAAATTGTAGCATCAGCCTTTTCATTTCTACAATGAAGACAGCTGAGATTTTGATAGAGATAGAACTGACTCTGTAGATCAATTTGAGAGTATTGGAATTTACCAATATCAAAACTGTGAATTTTTTTTTTAAAGGGAGACTTTTGCTAGAGGATTTGTCAGCCTTGCTAGAGAAATAGAGAATCACCCCCTAGAGAGGATGACCATGTCGCAATCACTTCTCCTCCATTCTCCTTTCATTTTTAGATATGCATGCACATGTGCCTTGCATGAGTTTCAATCCTCTGAGTTCAGTACTCTAACCACGGTATACTATGTGGGAGTTCAGTGACATAATCATTATGCCATCTGTTGGTCCCTTCAATTTTTAAAAAATTATTTATATATTCTGAAGGAGACTAGGAGAGAAAGACAAGCACCCTCAGTAAGGTCTCATGTTGTGATGTAACATCTCCCTTCATGGGTACACCTGTCTAGTACAGATCAACCCAGGATCTGGACCTCTGATTTTCAATACCATTCTCAGCATTGGAGAGCACTGTGCTACTACTGGTGGGCGATCGCAACTGTGCCAGTTAGCCTTTCTTTTTTTCAATTTGCTGTAAGGCATGTATGCTTGCCAGATAGAGGAGAGAAAGTGAGAAAATGAGATAGAACCCTCCTCAGTGGGCATGGTCACACCTCAGTGCTTTTTCCTCCATTCTTCTTTCAGATACTGGGCACAGACACAATGGGCCTGGCATGTTTTTCAAGCCACTCAATCCAGGACTGGAACCACACAGTTGGTCATGTGTGGACCCAGCTGTTTTATCTATCTGGCCAACTGGCTCGCCCAGCATTTTTTTAATTAATGCGGAATGATTGGTGCTAATAATTATTTTGTTCTGCATTTTCTTCTTGACCCAGGCATTCACTTCTTTTAAAATATTTTTATTTTGATTCCGTTGGGTTGTTAGTAAAGTCATCTTTGCATTAAAAAACAATGAAAAATATTTCGTCATGACTTTCCTGGTGATAATGATATTTATAGTGTTAATATTTAAATATTTTTTCAGTATTTTAGTAAAAAAGGATTAACAAATATAACTTAATTTTTTTAGTATAGGTTACTATTGATAATAAAAAATAATTATGCTTTGTAGAATTGAGTTCTGCATTTAGTTTTCAAATTCTTTTAATTAAAAATAAATAGAAGATTTGATTGTCATTTTGTGTTACTAGGTAGTTGTTTTACTGAACTTGATTTTTTTATTATTAAAATTGAACCTTAAATTTCAGTATTCAGCTATGCATATTAAAGTAATGTGATACTATGTAATGTCTCATTTTATGACTTTAATTATACTTAATTATTAAAATGTTAAAAACAACTAATGATTTTCTTTTTCCCCCTGTGCTGCAGTCGGTGGTAGATGACTGGATAGAATCATACAAACATGACCGAGATATAGCACTTCTTGATCTTATCAACTTTTTCATTCAGTGTTCAGGCTGTAAAGGTAAGATATATTTATTCTGAAAGCAGAAACTGTCAATTAGTCACTTCTTTATTTGTTCCACCGAAGAGCACTTTTATTCTTAGCACTTTTCATGGAAAATAGTGCCAAGGCATTGAATTATTTGCATTATATCCATACAAATGTATAAGGCAAAAAAGAAGCAAAGAACTAAATAAGAGACAAAGCCCATTGAGAAAGTTGGTATGTATTCGTATGTGAAAATTATCTAAAAATTTGGCAATTTATAATTGTTGTTACTTTTATTATACTGTTTCCAGCTTTCCGGGTCTGGTTTATGAACAAGGAAGTGGATTAACCTTAGTTTTCTGATCTTAAAAGTAGGAATTATTGTTTTACAGCTACATGTATACAATCACATGCACACACAAATACATGTATATATAAAGAACAGCGTGGTCATTTGAAAATCTACCTTAAATTTATCTACTTCTTATAAATCTCACATTCTGTACCTGGATATTTTTCTTTTAGATACTACATTTATGATATTCACAGTTGGAATAGTATTAAGCAAGAAAATAATGCAGTAATACAATTATAGTTTTGAAAATCAAGGTTTTACATTATCTGTCCCACTCTACTCTGTAGATCTAATGCTCCTTCAGTTGAACTGTATACATCTTCCTGCATTGTCTCCTAACATAACTTTTCTTAGAAATCTCTATTTTGATGTTTGTTCTCACTTGGCTATCTTCATATGTCCTGCTATTTCTTTTCTTTGGAGAAGTTTTTGCTATAGGGCACGTGCACTCGCCAGACAGACAGAGAGAGACAGAGAGATAGAAAGCGAGAAATCACCCCCCCGGGGGGATGGCCACACCGCAATCCCTTCTCCTCCATTCTCCTCTCGGGATCTTGGGCACGCACGCACATGTGCCCGGCGTGAGTTTTAAGCCACTGGGTCGGAGACTCGAACCGCGGTCGCCTACGTGGGTGTCCAGCGACATAGCCATTACACTAACTGCTGGTGCCTGCCCTGCTATTTCTTGTAATGTGCATCCTTTCTTCTCCCCCCTTTCATCATCTTTAAAAAATTTAAAAGTCCTTATCAAATTCTTTCTCTGTAAATCAGTTCTTGAATCCCTGTCTTGTGTGTGTATGTTGTATGTTTTGGGGTGTGGTCTGTTTATTTCATTTATTTATTTGGTCCTAGTTATAGTATTTCTTGGCATTCCTTCACCAGGGTGTTTTTTTTTTTTTATATTACCTTTAATTTTTTCTTTTTATTTATTTATTTATTATTTTAGAGTTGCATTTTTATTTATTTATTTTCTATTTTAGAGTTGCATTTTTTGTTGTTGTTATAGGGAGTGTGGCTTGCCAGAGAGACAGAAAACAAAAAGGGAGAAATTACCCCCTGGGGGGATAGCCATGCTACAGTTGCTTCTGCATTCTCTTTTTGGAATTTTGGGCACACATGCTTAAACTCCCATCATCAGTTTCAAGGCTTCAGGTCCAGGACTCAAACTATGGTCAACTATGTGGGAGTCCAGAGATATAACCATTACACCATCTGCTGGTTTCTCTCTCTCTCTCTTTTTTAAATTTTTTTTTAATTTTTAACTTTCAATTAGGTTTAGAGGTCTCTGAATGGGTGGGGACTATAACTTACTATTTATGCTTATTTATATCCCTTTCAGAAGTTCTTAAGAAAGGATTGTTTTACATACACACCGTGGTGCTTAATAGGAAGCCTGCCTAAATTCACTCTACCTAGTTCACTGTTTATATTCACATTCAAAGTTTTAAATATTTCCCTGGATGTCACCCTTTTGACATATGGTTTATATTAAAGGGGCCAATCCAGTTTATGTATTTTATATGTCTTTCCTTTGTGACTATAGATGCTTTAGTGTTAGAGACTAACTCAGGAGTTTTACCTTTTTATTTTTTAATTATTTCCTTATGTATTAACTTGTGACACTTGCAAATTTCAGGAGTTGTTACAGCAGAAATGTTTAGACATATGCAGAACTCTGAGATAATTCGAAAAATGACTGAAGAATTCGATGAGGTTAGTTATTACCCTAAATTTTTTGATAATTTTATGCGTGTTCATCTTTTTTAAAAAATAATTATTTAATTTTATTTACTCATTCATTTATTTTATTTCAATTTTTAAATTTGATAAGAGTGAGACACAGAGAGGGCGAGAAAGCAATCCACCAGGTCCAGTACTTGAACCATGGTTGGCCATGTGGGAGAGTCCAGCACCCTAAACACCATGCCACCTGCTGGTCTCCAATTTTATGCATGTTGATCTTGACTTAACTCTTAAAAGTATGCTGAAATTGAAGTATTAATGTTGGAGATAAGAGCTTTTGGTATTAGATGTAATCAAATGACTTTGGGCAAGCTGTCTTAGTGTTAGCTTCATTATCTATGAATTGGAGCTAATAATACTTTTCTCATAAGGTAGTTATGCTGATTGAATTGAGTATTTTTTATTTAATTGCTTAACAGTTTACAATTCTTAGCACATAGTACAAACTTAATAAATGGTGGCAACTATTATTTATTATCACTTTCAAAATTTTATGGAAGAATATAATTTAGTATATATGGTAAAACAAAGATTTTGTTAATATTTGAGGAACCAGGTAGCATAAACAAAGGAATATGTAAGTTACTTTATATATTTTATGTATTGAAAAAAGAATTTAAAAATCTCCTTTATGTTTGATATCAATAATAAGAGTAAATTTAATAAGTTGTACAGCCTTTTGTTTGTATTTTTACTAGTAAATATACATGTAGATTTTTTTGAGTGTAAGCTCCTTCAGGGTAGAGAGTCTTTCTCTCTTTATTCTTTTTTTAAGTTTGTTATAGGGCACATACACTTGCCTGAGAGACACAGAGAGAGAGAGAGAGAAGGAGAGAGATAGAAACTACCCTCCAGGGGTGATGACCTGCTGCAATCCTTTCTCCTCTATTCTCCTCTTGGAATTTGGCCATGTACATGTATTGGGTTTGTTTGCTGGTCAGTGTGAGACTTGAACTGCACAATCAACCATGTTGGATCCAGTTGCCTAAAGGTCCACACCACCTTCTGGTCTATTTTACCTTATTTTTTTTTAAAAAAAAGTTTCAGTTATTTTATTCATGAGAGAGAGAAAGTACCCTGAAGGGATATCACCATGCCGCGATCATCTTTTTTCATCCCTTGAGTGCTTCAAGTCCTGGCCTTGTGTGCATGCTCCAGCCGTGTTTTCAGGCTGACTCTAGAATCTGAACTCACAGTTGGCCATGTGGCCTCTAGCACTGCATTTCAGTTTTAACTTAACATTAGGCTGGGTCTGCTTTTATTTTCAAGGACTTTTTTTGTTGTTTTGTTTTTTGGTTTTTTTTTTTTTTTTTTGAGAGGTTTTTTGCTATAGGGCACGTGTGCTCGCCAGACAGACAGAGAGACATAGAGATAGAAAGCGAGAAATCACCCCCCAGGGGGGATGGTCACGCCACAGTTCTTACTCCTCCATTCTCCTCTCGGGAATTTGGGCACGCACGCACACGCGCCTGGCGTGAGTTTAATCCACCGGGTCCGGGACGCGAACCGCGGTCGACGACGTGGGAGTCCAGTGACATAGCCATTACTCTAACTGCTGGTTCCCAAGGACATTTTTATTTTTAATGATTTATGGTGAATTTCATTTTAATCTGAGACTGAAAAACTTGATTTACCCTCTTCTAAGCCTGTCCTAGCTAAATTTCTATTTCTTGTTAAAAGTTATTTGCTTATGTCAACTATTTGATGTCAAGGAGCTATTGAAAACATAGTAATCCTTTGTTGATTTATATATTGTATTTTGTATCAGACTGCAAAGATGTTTTCATAATTTTGAATCTAATATAAGTATTAATTTTTGCTTGGTTTTGGTTTCCTTTTTTAAAAAAAGTTTTAAAAAATTTATGTTTTTCACAAGTGATAGAGAAATATACAAGCGTAATATTTCTCTTAGGGTCCTGATGGCATCCCACCACCACCAAAAAACAGAGAACCTTTCAGGCTTTTGCCTAGGGTATTTCAAAAACATGTGAAATTTTAAAGCTTTAAAATGAAATTGCTGTTTTGAATTTTTGTTTTAGGATAGTGGAGATTACCCGCTTACCATGGCCGGCCCTCAGTGGAAGAAGTTCAAATCCAGTTTTTGTGAATTCATTGGTGTATTAGTACGGCAGTGTCAATATAGTATAATATATGATGAGTACATGATGGATACAGTCATTTCACTTCTTACAGGATTGTCTGACTCGCAAGTCAGAGCATTTCGACATACAAGCACCCTGGCAGGTCAGTGTTTGGAAATATTTTCTGTGTATTGCCTTACGTTAAAGGTGAAAAAGAAGACTAGGTAACTTATACTAGCAAGACTCTTATTTTTATTTATGAAGCGACTACTAAATGGACACACCATTCCTTCTCACCTCCACCCCATTGAGTTACTGGGAATGGAATTCTATTTTCAATTTCGTTTCTGTGAAGATATACTAGAATATGGGAATTTTTTGGTTGATAAGTTGTGTTCAAAGAGGTTTTGTCAGGGAGGACAGGTTACAGCAATTTTGGGAAATTGTCACTGTCATTTTGGATACGTAGTCCTGATGACTCTGTAGTTTGACTCTTGCATACCCCTCTGGGTAGGATGGCCCCTACTGTACAGTGCTTAGTCTGTATGCTTGTCTATCTTTCTTGCCACAGGGTATATGCACTTGCCAGAGAGAGACAGTGAGAAGGAAATTGAGAAATCACCCCTCAGGGGGTATGGCCATACCATAATCCCTATCTTCCATCCTCCCCCTGGAATTTTGGCCACTCACACATTTGGGCCTGGTGTGATATTCAAGCCACTGGTTCTCGGATTCATACCGGGGTGGGCCATGTTGGAGTCCAGTACCATAACTACCATGCCATCTGCTGTTCTTCAGTCTTTTTTAAAATTATTACTGTTAATTTTAATTATTATTTATACTTTTTCTAATCATTATGCATCATTTAGATTGTAAAGAGATCTTACTCAGCATGATAGACACTTCAGTGCAGCCCAGTTAAGAATACTATACACGTCTCATCAACAAATAATTAACCATATCTGTATCCCACCACTGCTTAGTCTTTTAATCATACTGCAAAAAACTTGGTTTTTCTTATGCATCTGGTTAATTTTAGGCATGTTCAAATTCTTTGATCTTTAAATTTTAGTGAATTGAGTTACATTTTTATATGTCATATGGTTAATTGTTACTGTAGGACAGTGCTTTTTGGTATTGATGCGAGTAAAATTTTTGATTTCTCTTTGATGCATAAGGTAAAATTGGTGTTTTCTTGTTGCTGAATATGTCCTTTTTGATTTCTTTGTGAATAAATCAAATAGACGTTTTTAAAAAGAATTATTTTACGTAACATTATTATTATATTATAATTTGATCAGACAGAGAGAGAAGGAAGGTGAGAAAGCAAGCCACCAGGTTCAGGACTTGAATTGCATCTGGCCATATGGGAATCTAGTAACCCAGTGCTTTTAATCACCAGGGGAACTACTAGCCTTTGAAATACGCTTTTTTTTTTTTTTTTGGGAGAGGTTTTTGCTATAGGGTACATGAGCTCGCCAGAAAGAAACAGAGAGAGAAAGTGAGAAATCACTCCCCATTGGGGAGATGGCCATGCTGCAATCCATTCTCTTCTTGGGATCTTGAGTATGCACACATACCAGTTTAAGCCACCAGGTCCAGCACTTGAACTATAGTCGACTACATGGGAGTCCAGCAACATATCCATTACGCCACCTGCTGGGCCCTCAAATAGGCTTTAACTGTTAACCTTTTCTTTCTTTCTTTTTTTTTTTTTTTTGGAGAGGTTTTTGCTATAGTGCATGTGCGCTCGCCAGACAGAGACAGACAGAGAGACAGAAAGCGAGAAATTCCCCCCCAGGGGGGGATGCCCACGCCGCAATCCCTTCTCCTCCATTCTTCTCTTGGGATCTTGGGCATGCATGCACATGCGCCCGGCGTGAGTTTAAGCCACCGGGTCTGGGACTTGAACTGCTGTCGACTACATGGGAGTCCAGCGACATAGCCATTACACTAACTGCTGGTCCCAAATTGTTAACACTTTTTATGCCCTAATACTATTGTTATTTTCAACTTCAAAAACTTTTCTGTGGGGTATTTTATTTCCTTAGAATATATTCTCAAAAAATTAACGTTGTGATTAGAGATACACGTCTAAGTTCTCTGTACATTCATACATTAATTTATTTAATTTTTCCAGGTGGCACATGTGCTCTTGGTGGGAGGTGATGGTGGTAGTGAGAAAGCACTCCCCCCCACCCCCACCCCCCCATAGGGAATAGTCTATTGCAATGCGTTCTCCCTTCAGGGTTTTAGGCATGCATATGCATGGCCCAAATGTGTTTTTCAAGCCATTGAGTGGCATTCAACTGCACAGTTGGCTATGTAGGATCAAGCTGCTTAACCACCATGGCACTGGCTGGCCCGTAAGTCCTCCATTTGTTAAAAGTGAAAATATATATCAATTACCCTTAGGATCTGTTTTTTTTTTTTTTTTCCCCAGAAGGTGTTTGGTGTGAAAGAGCTTAATTACTAAGGAATATTGTAAAGTATTATGGTGCAAGGTGAATACTTTTAGACCAGCATGACAAAATGGTTTCCTGAGGGTGTGAAATAGCTTAGAACAGAACATTGGGAAATCTCTCTCTTAAGATAATCAGTCATCAGAAATTAACATATGTGTTTGCTTTGTTGTATCATGCAGTGCACTAAGCCTGATAAATATTTTGGAGTAAGGTAAAGAAAGCACAATGTGATTAGGTCTTTCAATGAATGAGTTTTGAATCTTGGGCAGTAAGTGTTATTGTATGAAGAGTAAGATTTCTGTACCAGAAGATAGAGATCTAGGGGAAGTTTTATGAGAAAGTAGTTTATTGAGTTATTCTTTGTACTTCTGACTTTCTTCATTGCCTTTGTAATGATATAGAATGAAATTATATGAAAGTAAATACTGGTACAACTTCAGCATTTTTACACAATGTAATTTGACATGAAGCACTTATATTCCTTTTGGTTACTGAGGTAGCTTAGTGACTTCTTTATGAACTAAAGTTTACCTAAAAGGTGAATCATGCTCTCTGAGAAAGATCATTGTAAGGGACAAATTTTTGAATAGTAGGATTACAACAAATGTCTGGAGTCAGATTACCTTGTTTTCGATCCTGGTTTAACTATGTATATAAATTGTGTAATCTGTGGAAAATTTCTTAAATCTCTCTGAGCTTCAGTTTCTTTATGAACCAAATGGAAATAGTACTTAACTTTGAGGTCTATTGTGAAGATTAGAAGATAATCCTTGAAAAGTACTTAACATAGGTAACTAACAGATATGCTAGTTTTCAGTACATGCTAATTGTTGTTTTATTGTTTTTATTTTTAGCAGTTGTATTTTTTTCTGTTCAGAGCAGATCAGCCCATGTGTGCTTAATTTCTCTTAATGTGATCTTAAATTATGATTTTTTTTTCATTTGTTATACTAATTTCAACGTTTTACCCTTTCAAAAATAGCTATGAAGTTGATGACAGCTTTGGTGAATGTAGCACTAAATCTTAGCATTAATATGGATAATACACAAAGACAATATGAAGCAGAACGGAATAAAATGATTGGAAAACGAGCCAATGAGAGGCTAGAACTCCTGTTACAAAAGAGGAAAGAGGTAAATATATATGTATTGAATATTTAGGCTGTTAATGTGTAACCAAATGTCCACCATTAATTTTATAATAACTTGCTAGTTCCTGAGATAAATTTTTTTAAGATTTAAATTTAAATAACATTGCAAGTTGATTATGTGTCTAAGTTTATTCAATGTCCATGCCTATAATACCTGGACTAGTATTAAAGAGCGTTGGGCTTTTTAAAATTTTATTTACATTTATTCACTGTACATCTTTACAGTATACAACATGGTTTTCTCAGCATGAATACAGTGCATATTAGTCATGTCAGAGATATTACTATATACATTATCCACAGATATCTTTTCATATTTGTGTCTGTTAAATGTTTTGTTTGTTTTTCCTTTAGCCCCTCTCTTCTACCCCTTGCTATCCTGTTACTAGTATGTACAGCTGCCTTCCTATTATTATTCCTTCTAGTCTTTGAGTTACTGCTATAGAGTGTAGACATTGGGGATATATTAAAGTGGGGACATAGAATGCCTGTCTTTTATAATCTGGCTTTCTTTGCCAAGCATTAAATCATCCACATTCATCTCTTTGTATCACATGTCAAGGTCTCATTTTCTTTTTAATGCCTAAGTAATATTCCATAGAGTATATATCCCTGCCACCTTTATCAATCCACTCATCATTTCTTGGACATGTGGGTTGATTCCATGTCCTAGCAATTGTAAATAAAGGTACAGTAAATAAGGATATGCAAGTGTTTTTCCAACTGAGTGTTTTCCTATTCTTTGGGTAGATAGCTAAGTGTGGAATTATTGGGTCTTATGGCAGTCCCATTGGGTCACTGTGAAAGTCATGAGTCATTTTTGAATAGAAAAAGACATCATGACTTGTGCAGTGACCTAACATTTTGTAAGTTTTTGAGAAACCTCCATATCATTCTCCATAGTGGCTGTACTCATTTGTTGTGTTGTCAGGAAAGTCATGACATATTTTTGAATAGAAAAATGCATCATGACTTTCCAGTGATCTCATACATTCCACCAGTGCTGTAGAAGGATCCCCTTTTTACTGTAGCCTCACCAGCACTTATCATTCTTAAAATCTTAGCCATTCTAACCAGGGTTAAGTGTTATCTCATTGTGGTTTTGATTTGCATGTCTCTTATGATAAGAGATATTTAGCATTTTTTCATACATTTTTGGGCTGTTTGTATGTCTTGTATGTCTTCCTTGGAGATTTGTCTGTTCAGCTCACTTACCTATCTTTTGATTGGATTGATTTTTATTATCATTCTTTTTTGTGCGTATGCTGTTTGGGTTCCTTGTTTGTTCTAGTTATCAATCCCTTATCTGAGGCATAGTTTGCAAATACATTCTCCAACTGTGAGGGTTGTCTCTTCACTCTAATTATTGTTTCTTTTTCTGTGAACTGTTTATTTTGCTGTGCAGAAGCTTTTTAGCCTCATGTAATCCCTCTTGTCTGTTTTGGGGATTATTGCTTGTGCTCCGGGGGTCTATTTAAGAAGTCTTTGCCTACCCCAATGTCTCCCAGAGTCTCCCTTGTGTTTCCATCAGTAGTTTTATGTTTTTTTTTAATAATTCATTTAATTTTATTTGTTATTACTGTTTTTTAATTTGACCAGAGAGAGAGTGAAAGAGAAAGTGAGAAAGCAAGCTGTCAGGTCTGGGACTCAAACTGCAGTTGGCCAAGTAAGAGACCAGTTCCTTAACTACCACAGCACCTGCCAGGCTCATTGTTTGCAGTTTTATGTGTAGATAGTGGATCCATTTTGAGGTGATTTTTGTTAATGATGAGAGATAGGGGTCAGTTTTCATTTTTTTGTAGGTGGATATCCAGTTTTTCCAGTACCATTTGCTGAAGGGATTTTCTTTTTCCCACTGGGCGTCTTGTGCCCTTTGTCAAAGATCAGTTGGATGTATATTTTGGGATTCTTTTTGGCTTTTCAGTTCTTCTCCATTGGTCCACATGCCTGTTTTTGTGCCAATATCACCGTGTTTTGATTATCACAGTTTTGTACAATAATATATTTTGAGGTCAGTAAGATGCCTCCTACTTTACTGTTTTTCCACAGTATTGCTTTGGCAATACTGGGCCTTTTATGATTCGAGACACATTTTCTGATTGTTTTTTCTGTGTCTGCAAGGAATATCTCTAGTAGTTTGTTTGTTTTCACATTCATTTTTTAGACTTACTTGGGTAAGATTGACTTTTTTTAAAAAATTTTTATTATCATCATAATCTTCTTTCTATTACAAGGATTGACATTTTTATTATGTTATTGTTCCAATCCAGGGACATGGGTATCTTTTTACTTGCTTTACCTTATTTTCAATTTCTTTATTTAAAGTTTTTCAGTTTTTCTTGTAGAGATCTTTCACTTTTTTGTTAGGTTTATTCCTAGATAGCTTTTATAATTTTTGTGACTATTGTAAATAAGATTGCTTTCTTCAATTCTAATTCAGTTTGTTCATTGTTGGTGTATTAGAATACCGTAGAATTTTGCATGTTAATTTTGTACTCTCCCACTTTACTGTATTCATTAATCACTTCCAGGTTGTGTGTGTGTGCGTATATATTTTTGAATTTTTTCTGTATATAATCATATCATTTGTTTTAATTATGCCTGCCCATTCTTTCCTTGCTTACATTGTTTCAGTTGAGAGTTCTCACCGTAGTCTAATAGGACCCTTTATAAGTAATTTGTCATTCCTCTCTTGCCATTAAAAAAAAATTCATTTAACTTCATTCATTTATTTTAATTTGATTAGAGAGAGAGAGAGAGAGACAGAAAGAGAGAGAGATAGAGAAAGGGAAAGTGAGAAAGCAAGCTACCAGATTAGGGACTTGAACTGTGGTCGGCCATGTGGGAGTCCAGCGCCCTTAACCACGCCATCTGCTGGCCCCCACTCTTGCCATTTTTAGAATCTGGTCTTTGGTTTTGGTTTTTGCCAGTCTGGCTATAAAATGCTGGGGGAAGGATATTTTTATGTTGATTCCATTTGGCATTTCCTGTGTCTAGATGTCTGAATGTTTCTTTAGGTTTGGAATCTTTTCTGGAATTATTTCATTGAATAGATTTTGGGTGACCTTATCAGATTCTTCTTCTTCTGGAATACAGTTATTCCAATATTCAGGTGTTTAATGCATCTAGGATTTCCCATGTGTTGACCTCTTCCCCACTTCCCCTTTTTAGTTATTTTTTTCTTTCACCATTTTGTTGGTTTTGTCTAAGTCAGAGGCTTTGTCTTCTGGATCAGAAATCCTATCTTTGCATGGTTTAATATGCTATTAATACTTTTGAGGGAGGTTTCGATTTCTTATATTATGGTCTTTATCTCTAGAAGTCATTTGATTCTTTTTCTTTTTCCTCTTTGAGAGAGATTTTTGATATTGGCCACATGTACTCACAGGAGAGACAGAAAGAGAATGAAAGTGAGACGTCACCCCCAATGGGGATGGCTATACCATAATTCCTTCTCCTCCATTCTCCTTTCAGGATTTTGGACACACATGCACATGCTTCTGGTTTGAGTTTTTTAAGCTGCCAGGTACTGCACTCAAACCTCAGCTGACCATGAGAGAGTGCAGCATCTTACATACTATGCCCTTTGCTGGCTCCTGTTTGACTCTTTTATGGTGTCTGTCTGTCTATGGAGTTTCTCCTTTAAGTCACAGAGTGATGTTTTTTTCATTTCCTGGAATTGGTTGTCCATTTTCTCTTGCATCTCATTGAGTTTAGTTACAGTAAGTATTCTGAAATTTTTTTCCTGACATTTTGGTGATTACCTCTGTTTTCTCCATTTTTGGAAATGAATTATTGTGTTCTCTTGGAGGAGGGGTGTGTTTCTTGTTTTTCTCATATTTCCTCTGGCTCTGCTGGGACTTCTAGCCATCTGAAGATGTACTCACATCTTGCTGCTTCTTTGGAGTAGAATTCTGTAGCTGTGTGCACCTGTTCTTTGCTTCGATCTAAAGTAGTTTTGTACCAGTTTCTGTCTTTTAGTGTGACAGTGTGGTATCCACAGTGGGAGTTTTCAGTTTTAGATTTACAAAGGGATTTCTCTCCTCCTTTGCTGATGTGAATGTGGAAGAGATCTGCAGAGCCTCAGAGTGTTCAAATGTTTGGTTCCTATGTACCTAGAAGTATTGGGTCACTATGTGGCAGGGGATTGATGGACTTGAGTGGTGAGAATGCAGAAGTCTCCAAAATCTAGCACTGTGCAGATCACCAGACAAAACAGGACCTCTTCCCTCATCCTGGACCGGACAGTGGGCTTGAGTGAGGAGCTGCTTCTGGTTGGGCTTCCTTTCTCCTTGCTTCTTACTGGGTGAAGGGTAAATTGGTATTCAAGAGTTATTGGGCTTTCTAAGTAAGGAGATCTGGGTCAGTCTGGCAAGTTGTCTAAGCCTAATATTTATTTTCACTGTGAAAATACCTCTGAACTATCTCCTTCAACCTATAAGCAGGATGAAATGAGGTTTTACGATTATTTGAAATTACTTTAAAAAATAACATATGATTTATTTATTGGTATCTAAATCAATATTTTGGTATAGTAGGAAGGGCTTGGTTAACATTAACAATTGGCCATCAGATTGAACTTTGAAGAAAATGTTTTTTCAGCTTTATGTTAAATAATTGTAAATAAAAATTTTTGATACTGCATATGTAATTTAAATAATTTATTTGTAGGTATATTTCCATCTTGTAATGGAGATAATTGTTTTTATTTCAAACAGGCAAAGTCTGATGTTTATTTCTAAAATATGAGTAATGAAGTTGAGTTCAAATAGTTGTCATGATAATCTTAAGATATTTATTTCAACTTGGAAATTTTTTGGGGGAGTGAGAGCTCCAATTTTATTTATTTGTTTATTTTTTAAATAATTATTTATTTATTCATTCAGTTGTTTTCATTTGACCCGAGAAGGCACATAGAGATAAGGAAAGTGAGAAAGCAAGCCACCAGGTCCGAGACTTGAACCGTGGTTGGCCATGTGGGAGTGTCCAGCATCTTAATCACCACGCCACCTGCTGACCCATATTTATTTATTTTAAAATATGCTAGAGGTCATGTGTGTGTGAGAGAGTTAGTAAGAAGGCATCCCTTGTGGGGGGGGATGGGTCAGCAATTCCTTCTCCTCTTCATTTCTCCATCCTTTCAGGATTTGGGGTACAAACTGACATGCTGGGATTTGAACCTTGGTTGGCCTTGAGGTAGTCCACGCCTTTAACCACAAGGCAATGGGGCTAGTCCTAATCAGCCCGTACCTTTTGGCTAGTGAACATGAGAAGTGCATACCCTTAATAATGTGTGAAGATGCAAAATTATGTTCATGCAAGAAAACTATAATTTTTTTGGTGGGGGGGGGAGAGGTTTTGGCTATAGCGCACACGTGCTCATCGGAAAGACGGAGAGGCAGAGAGACAGAATGTGAGAAATCACCCCCCAGGGGGTATGGCCATGCTGCAGTCCCTTCTCCTCCATTCTCCTCTCGGAATCTTGGGCATGTACGCACATGTGCCCGGAGTTTAAGCCACTGAGTCTGGGACTTGAACAGTGGTCAACTACAGGGGAGTTCAGCGACATAGCAAGATTTTCTAAAAGCATAAAACATAATGTAAAAGCTAATTTAAACTTGGATTATAAAATAGAGAGTCTTCATTTAACTCTTAAGCTCTGAATTGAAAATATTTGTGTGACTGTAAGTTAAGCAGGACTTGAAATGTTTGTCTGATTATTTCAGGTCAGTTTTTATCCCACTCAAAAGAATTTAGCAGAGAGGAACATTTTTTATTTAGTTATTTTACTCTTTCTTTTTGCTCTTTGAGGAGGCACTACTTATCATGACTCTTCATACTATTAAGATGAAAATAATAAAAAATTGTTAAGCTTTTTTAATATGAACATGTGAGAGGACTTCATATACTTCATGGAAGAATGGAATTGAAGTGCAAGTTTATTTTGGTGTAATCAAATTTTGAAATGCAGGTTTTCCTTTTTTGTTTTAGTAATTATTCATCATTATTACTATTATTTTAATTTGACTGGAGAGAGACAGAAAGTGTGAAAGCAAGCCATGTCAAGGACTCGAACCGCAGTTGGCCATGTGGGAGTCCAGTGTACTTAACCACCATGCCACCTACAGGCCCTGAAATGCAGATTTTTCATAATACACATTTCCCACGAACTTTTCAAAAATCCTTTGTGTAATGTAAATGACATGTAATGATAATGAACTATGTAACAGATTTTTTATAGAACTTGTATACCAAATAAATGTATATTAGATAACATTATCATTTGAATACTAAATTCCAAGTCAAGTATGTCACATATAAGTTACTTTAGGTACCTGGTATAAACTTACTAATTTTTCTATGTGGTTACTATTGTCTTATAAAATTAGTAATTAGATATAATCAACATACTGGAAAAACTTGCATATCTTGGTGCTTATAATGACTTTTAAGTATTTTGTTGATTGTCTTTCTAATTGAAAAGAAATGGTGTGTTCTTCTTTATAGCTTCAGGAAAATCAAGATGAAATAGAAAATATGATGAATGCAATATTTAAAGGAGTCTTTGTACATAGATACCGGTAAGTCATAATAGGTTTTTCACAAGTAGCACAGTGTAACTTTTACTGTTCAAATGTGGATATTTAAGTGCTTTTGGCAGTATAAATTTTTGCAAAGAGTGTTATATTAAGATCAATGTCAAAAATCTAACCTCTGACACTGAGTCAATCTGGGAAAGTCATTTAAGTGTTTATACTTGATATTTCCTATCTGAAAAGTGGGGTAATGCTGTGCGTGACTTGCAGCTGTCCATCCAGTGGAAGCCATTGCTTTTATTAGGAGTCAAGGGAGAAAATACTTAATTGCTTTTGTATGTTATATGGTAACAGAGCCTATACAGGTTTATTTTTGACTGCTGTTTTAAGTGAGCAGAGGAACGAAATCAGTAATATTACCACAGCTTTTGTTGTAACCTTTTTTTAAATGTTGGTAGTATTTGTATTCAGTTTTTCCCTCATTCCCTCAAATTGGCTGTTAATTGCATCAGGTTAATGCTTACTGTGTAATGTCTCTATGTCCATTCTTACCCTTTCATTTCTGTTGTCATCGGTACCTTAATATGTTCTCCTATCATTCTCATACCACGAAATTATTGCAGTTTCCTAAAACATACTTTGATTGTGTTATTCCTTTGCTTTCAATGACTTACCAGTACCTACAGGATGAATTTAAAATCTTTAGTCTGACATTCAAATCCCAGTTGAGCTTGGCCTCAGTATTGTGTGTAAGTAATTCTCACTTGGTAAATTATCCTCTAGCCAGAATAGTGTGTCTATCTTTTGAACACACCATGCCTAGCAGGAGTTAGAAAAGGTTATAGTGTGAAAGATGGGATGTAATTTTGTTTTATTTAGTTTAATTTTAAATAATTACATGTTGATAATTAGGAGTTGTCTCCTAGACTGTGAGCTGTTGGCCTTTGGGCCTGGGCTTTAGTTCTACTTTTTATCCCCAGTAATACTTAAGATAGCAGTATTCTTCATATTAGGTATGGAATACTTGCCATCTCTTAAAGAAACCATAAGTCATGTAGTGTAGTGGCACTAACTATGCATAATTTTTCCTTCCTCCTTTTAGGGATGCAATAGCTGAAATCCGAGCTATATGCATCGAGGAGATTGGCATTTGGATGAAGATGTATAGTGATGCCTTTCTTAATGACAGTTATTTAAAATATGTTGGTTGGACTATGCATGACAAGGTAAGATGAGCCCTTCAGGCTGCTTGACTGTCTACACATAGGCATGGCTGTTTACAGCTCTCATTCGTAGTGAGTTTTCTGCGTGCATGTGTATTCGGGGTCACGTTCCTACAAGCTTCTCTCCTTTATTCTTTTCTGTGTATTCCATGAAAACTTGGTCTGTATCATATCAAGTCTCCTAGACTTTTGAATTCTGGCCACTGATTTAACCTTCAATGTTGAATTAGTTTTTGTGCTGAAATGTTAGGATCACATAAGTGGTGATGTTGAGGTGTTTTATAGAGCACTAAGAAGAGCTATTACTGTAATGTTATCTGAGAGTTATGTATTTTTAAAAATTCTCAATTTTGATCTTGTCTTTTGGCAAAGAGATATTTAGCCAGATGTTTACATTGTAACTTGCTCTCTGATCTTTTTTGTTTTCCATCCATTAAACTACCATTCTTTTAGAATGCCTCTTCACTAGCATTGATTAAATTTATTCTATTTCTTCCAAACTGCATTGTTTTGTAAAGGAAAAGTTACTGTGAAAATATGCTGCTATCTTTCACAATATTTTTGCTCTGAACAAATTTTCAGAAACAGCATTTGACCCTTTGAGATAACTTCAGTGGTATTTGTTCTTAAACATATATACTGATTTCTATGCTTGCATTATCAGGGATAACTGTTTCTAAAGAAGTGCCATTGTATATAAGAAGTTTACAATTTTAAAGTAGAAAATTCTGCATCCGTCTTAAACATTTAGGTTGAAAGTACACAGTTTTAATGCATTTTCTCATCTTGTTTCTTTTAGCAAGGTGAAGTAAGACTCAAATGTCTTACCGCTCTACAAGGGCTTTATTATAACAAAGAACTGAATTCCAAACTGGAGCTATTCACTAGTCGGTTCAAGGTTAGTTTTTACTTTAAGCATTTATAAATTATCTATAATTTGAAAGTATTTTTCTCTTGGCTTTTCTTTTAAAAATATTTTAATCTTTTTGTCCTTAGGATAGAATCGTGTCTATGACCCTTGACAAGGAATATGATGTTGCAGTACAAGCAATAAAATTACTTACTCTTGTTTTACAGTAAGTATCTATTTGTTAGATACCATTAATATATAGGTATCTGTACAGTGCATTTTGGTACATGATTCAAATTCATTAAATTGTAATTCTTAGTAGTTTAAATCATGAACCATTTATCCTTCACAGCTCAAGGTTTAGATTTCTCATGTAAAATTGAGAAGACACACAAGGCAGGAACTATAGAAGCTGTGAAATTGTAAATGAGCCTGGTATTCATTTGTTTCTATTCTCTTAGACAGTGTACTATTTTGCTTTTTAAAAATTTTTTTAGGTTTTTCCCATGGATTGCATGTGCTCACCAGAGACAGTGAGAGGGGGAGTAAGAAATCACTCCCTAGGGGTATGGCCTCACTGCAGTATCTTCTCCTTCAGTCTTCTATGATTTTGGGTACAAACACACATGCACCCAGTGTGATTTTCAAGCTGTGAGGTCTGGAACTAGAAATCACAATCAGCCATGTGGGAGTCCAGCACCTTAACCACCATGCCACCTGATGGCCATCTATCTTACTGCTTCTTATGTTCTTGAAATAAAGTTAAACTCTCTGAAGACATTAAAAATGTGCTTATTAGGGACAGCAGGTGGCGTGGTGCTTAAGGCTTTACGCTTCTATGATTTTGGCTACTCTGGATAGTTGATATAAGTTGAATCATTCAGGATTTGTCCTTCAGTATGTGTCTTCATTCACTTATTATATTGTTCCACAGTTTGTCCATGTTCTGAACTTGTATCAGTACTTCTTTATATGGTTGAATGACATTTCAGCATGTATATGTATACCACGTTTTGTCTTCCCATTTATCTGTTGGTGGACATTTGGGACCTTTCTACCTTTTGACTCTTGTGAACAAATCTGCTATGAACATATATGTGGCAAGTATCTGTTCAAGTTCCTGCTTTCAGTTCTTTTGTGTAGAAAGAAGTAGAATTGCCAGTCACATGGTAATTCTGTGTTTAATTTTTTGAGGACTAGCCCTCCTGTTTTTCGGAGTGGTTACATTCCTACCAGTGGTTTCCTGAATTTCATATGTCTTCACATGCTCACTAATAACTTCTTTTCCATTAAAAAAATTATTTATGTAATGTTATTAGCATTATTTTAATTTAATCAAAGAGACAGAGAATGACAGAGAATGAGAGAGCAAGAGAGATAGGGGAAGTGAGAAAATATGCCTCCAGGCCTGAGGCTCAAATTGTGGTTGGCCATGTGGGAGTCCAACACCTTAACCACCACAGTAGCTGTTGGCCCTATTTTATATTTTTCAAAATAATCAATAACCTGGTGCTGTCTCTCTACCACATACTTTGGTCACATATTGGAACTTATGAAGTCTTGTTTTAAATTAATATAAAGATTTTATAAAAATACTTAATAAAGATGTTCACTAAATGTATATGAAAAAATCTTTTTTTTTTATGAAAAAATCTTAATAAAATGCATCTAAGGGACATGGAAGAAGACTTGAGTTTGGAAAATTTACTTAAGAAAAAACAGTGTTTTAAGATTTATAATCTCTCTTAAATTCTTGTATTTTAACATCTTCATTATAATAATGGCAAAGTGTGTTTTTTTAAAATTAAATTTAAGAAATATATGGAAAATACAGTGCATTAGAGCAGCCAGCAGAATTGTGAATAAAAACTAATGGTTGAAGACTAGTCCAGTATGGTTTTAAGTTATATTGTAAAACCAAAGCAATTTAAAACTTTTGGTACTGGTGCTAGATAAAAAGATCAGTGTATGTAACAGAATAAAATGGAGACAAACGTAACTACTTATAGGATTCTATATAGGATTCGGATGGCATTTCCTACCAGTAAGAAATATAGACAGTGGATATTGTTTGTCAACTAGAGTATATTTACAGGAAAAGTAAAATTGGATTCGTATTTTATTTTTTCCCTAAAATAATTTCTAAATGGATATGTGTAAACAAATAATGAAACTATCATTACCCGATATCAAAAATGCTTATACTAGGCCAGCAGATGGTGGTGTGGATGTTTGGGCGGCTGGATCCCACATGGCCTAATTAGTATTAGTAGTTTGAGTCCTGGACTCAGTGGGCTAGAAAACATGCTGGTTGAATGTATGTACATGCTCAAAATCGTAAGAGAATGGAAGAGAAGTTACTGTGACATGGCTATTCCAGCCCACCTTTCGTAGAGGGGGCAGTGTTTTCTCTCCAGTGGTTGCACGTTCCCTATAGCAAACTTAGGAAAAAATGCTTAGGGCCTAGAATTGTTTTAGATTGGTATTTTGTTGTTGTTTTTGGATAGTGGAATATTTGAATATACATAATGAGATATAGCCAATGTAAATACTTCCATGATTTCATAAAGTTCATGCAAGAGGCATATTATCATAAAACTACTCATAGAAGTGAGAAAAGTTTTGCACTAAGATATACTCATACTTTAATTCCATTTAAAAATTAGTGTTTTGAATTACTCTTGTATTATGTCATTTAATATACCAACTTTGTGAGATAGATGGTGATAGATAGATATCCCCATTGATATGACATGGATTACATTGAAGTAATTTTTTCAAAAAAGAGTTACTTCCTTCATTTCTTTCATTTTTGCTATAGGGCACATGTACTTACCAGAGAGACAGAGA